TTTTTTTTTTTTTTTTTTTTTCGGAAAAGTGAAAATTGTGAAGATTTACGCGTGTTCAGGAACGTTGAAAAATTCTTTTCATAAATGAATCGATCGTCATTTCGAAGTCTCTCGTTTACAATGAAACTCTTAAAATTTGTTTTTCTCTCGCCATTTTATTAAATACCAGGGTCAAGCGAAATTCAAGAAATTTTGCCGTTTTGCCATTTGACGCTGATGTTCGACGTTCAATAAAACGGCAAAGGAAAGATGGTATAGAAAGTTTTAAGAGATCGTTGTAAAGAGGAGACGTGGATCTTCAGTACCGTGGTAGATTTAAAAATTTTCTCACGCGAGTCTGAATTTTTACAATTTTCGAGACAAAATATGGCAAATTTCTAATTTCGCGGTTTTTCTCAGTTCTGGTTATTTCACTATCGTTTCTTTAATAAGAAGGCTCATTTTATCTCTAAAACAAGAAATCAAATCCGAGAAAGGTCGGAGAAGTTCTGGCCTCTTAAAAAAAGAAAGAAAAAAATTATTATTATTTCTAAACTAGAAATTTCATCAAAAATATCTCAACTTTTCTATTCGATACATGACGTAAAATTATTTTTGAAAGAACTGTACTCACGACTGTCAGAAGTAGAGGCTGTAATCATTGTATGTGAAATGAAAATTTCAGTTTGAATTATCAATAATTTTTCCACTTTAAATTAAGTTATTCAGTTTCGATTGTATTTTCCTGGTTTTCAAAAATTATTTCCAGCAAAATTCCAGTTCAGAATTAATCAACAATTTTTCATTATCATTGCTATATCACTCTTCACTGTGAGTCCAACATACTTTCGACGGATTTTCGTAGAATCGGGCATCTCGATTCAAAATTGAACGGACATGTTGTACGAAGCGATGATTTCCCCTATTAAACGACGTGAAAAGATTGTTCAAGGTTGGCGACGTGCGACCAGATTGCACGCTCGAGTAAAAGGTTTGGCCCTGTGTTTCCAGCCAAAAGCTGAATTTCGCTTGAAAACACTTGGGAATTGGCTCGTTAGAGTGGTCGGTTTATCGCGCAAAGACACGCTTTTCGCGCAAACATCCACTCCACGAGCCGGAGATAGAGAGAGCCGGCTCGATTGCGTGTGCATCGTGTTAGTTCTCGCGGGATCGATGATTCCTGCGCGGGTTGAACGACTCTCCGATGTTCGATACGGCATCGTTTCGCGATTCGACCGATTTCCATTGGCCTCGGTGCCGATCGGGAAACCGATCTCTTCGACATTCGTGCCCGCCTTTGCTTCGTTTCGTTTTAATACAATTTATAGGACAATTATACTCGTCGATATGACGTAGATTTTTTTCTCTTTTTTTTTTATACCTTAGATCTTTTCTTTTTTTTTTTTTAATTGCTTAAGAGATACGGATATTTCTGTCGGAATTGATATTGATTTCTGTTTAGTCTGAAATTCATAATTGTATGAATCGATTCATGTTGATCATTGTCATTTAACGATTTAAGAACAATTTTGGCACGTTCTATTAAAGATCGATTGTTCTAGCGTTTAATTACATTTTTTTCTCTGCTATGAGAAACACAATGTTTTTCACGAATTTTCGATTTATAATTCCACATTGACGTCGCTGTTTGGCAATGAAACTCCACCATAAATAGTTGGAAAATCATGAATTAGTTCGAGAACTGTTCGCGACCAACGATATTTCGAATATTTCCGACGTAAATTTTGCTCGGTGTAAGAAATTACGATGGTTGAAATGAATATCACGACTGCTTCTCACTTCGACTGTCTGTGTTTTATCGATTTTCGATACTTTTTTCACGATGTTCAAAATGTATTATTGTCCCCTCGGATTTTAGTGTCGGTTTTCGAGCATCGTAAACAAAGATGAACAAACGTATCAATTTATTTTTTACAAGCAATAGTTTTTTTTTCTTTTTTTTTTTAAAAAGAGAAGAAGAGACAAAAAAAAAAGTTGGTATATATTTCATTGGATAAAATTCGTTTGTTTGGTTCACGCATTTCGCGAAGCACCATGGCTATCACCGTATTTGCGTCGTATCTTGTTGATCATTTCGTTTTTCAAGCAAGCATTTAATATCGGATAACGTGAATATCGTTAACTCCGTCAATTTCATTCGTGGATGTCGATTAAAATACGCGGAAGACATTTCGAAATGTTTCGCGCAACGTTGTTCCATGCCATCGAAACTATCGCTTAATTGTCTCAAAAAGTCCTTCATTAAATTGGGAAAGCAACAAGCTGGAAGTTTGCATTGCAAGCGCGTGCACTGCGCACGAATATAAAAAAAGAAGGAAAGAAAGTAGACGAGGTCGTAGGAAAAATAGATCGCGTTGCTTCGACAGAATAGAAACTACGGACCACTAGACGTGACGTACCCTATATAATTTAAA